TGGCTTTAAGAAGGGTTGCAGGCTAGGTGATAGAGAAGGCCCTGGGACACTGGGTTGGTAGACCGTTTGGTGAGCGCCAGCAGCAACAGAGACGCTGGGTTGGTCAGCACTAGCTGAAATGGGCTCTGATTTGGACATTCGGCTTTGCTTTTTCCAATTCAGTTCCCAGTCTCGTGCTCTGCTTTTAAGTTTGTAGATTGCCTGCTTCCGGCCATCCGGCTTCTGCTTCCATCAAGCTGCATCTTTAAGTAAGTGTGGATGTATGTGTGGACAGACTGAGAGGTTTCTAATGATTTCATAATATTGCTGCTAGTTTTTTAATAAACCCACCATTTAAATATTTGATTGATGGATTGACTATTACTTGATAAGTGGCCATGAGATTTCTCTTGCAACAAGAGGATTTTTCAGCAACATGGATGGATAGATATTGTTCAAAAATAGAGATTATATTTTACAACTTTATTTGGCCAGTTCTATTAAATACTGACTGGATAAACAAAATACTTTTCTTACACTTATAAAATTCAAAATATTTATAAGATATAACCAAACAGAAACATATTGGGTTACTGAATTTAAAGAAAGCTTAAAGTAAAGGCTCTGTTCCCAGAGATGCCAGCAGCTTTGTTCAGCTTTCCAAAATCAATAAACCTCTGGGGCTATCCTTGTAAAATTCAAATATGTTGAGAAGAAACCAACAACGAACAGATTTGATGACATCATTGAGCCTTTCGCTCGCCAGGCGAATTTCTGATGAAATGTCAGGCAAGCAAAACAACCCGAAACTGTTTAATTTCTTGCAGGTATAACGTTCGGTGTGAGCTCATCATCAGAAGAGTTACACTGAGTTGCTTCTGAACATTTATTTGGGGATGATTTTTTGACTTCATTAACATATAAGAGGTACATTTCCACACACATTTAGTTCTGCGTGCAAGCAGCGTGTTCAGGTATAAAACAATATATTTCGCTACATGCATGTACCGAATCCAACAGGGCGGTACCTGATGTATTTGGGTAAAAATAATACAGGTACATCTCCAGTTATCTGTGCACAATTATTTGTCAGCACTTTGATTTCTGGTAAAATAGAGCATCACATGATTTAGAAATAAAAATGAGCACGAGACAGCTCTTTAGTGAAGGGATTTACTTCTTTATTGGTTGGTTTGAGGGATTGCCTTCAAGTCAATGAGTCGATGCAATCAACTGGTTTTCCTTAGATAGAAAACTGAATCAGTTTGACTGTATGATCTGGTTGAATTGTCTTTGTAAAGTGCCTTGAGATGACATGTGTTGTGAATTGATGCTATAAAAATTAGGGGTGTAAATAATAATCGTGTTATATCGATGCATCGATACGTCCGCAAGAGTATCGATTCATTTTTTTTTTTTTCCTCCGGTCTATTTTTATCCATTTGCTCCTGGGCGTAATTCTCCCTCCCGTGCTGCGGTGGCGCTAAACCTATTTTGCCCTCCTACCTCGCTTCCTGGTTATACTCTTACAGCAGTGTGTTGCAGTGAGCTTGACACAGACATTTTTAAATTATGCTCAATATTGAAGCGTGGTCTGTGCTACACACTGTGGGTCTAGATACGGCAGAGGCGGCGAGGAAGTGGGGGCGAGTTTAGTCCGACGACGGAGGGACATGAGGGCCAAAAAGAGCGGAGATCCAGGTGGAAAAAGGGTCCCAGCGTTCTCGCGCACCTCGCTCTTCCAGCGGTTCAAACTTCACGAGTTGTTTTCTGCAATTTCGGTCATAAAAACAAAAAAAGATGGCCTCCTGTCTGCGGTCAGCTACAATTTGGGAGAGGCACTCAGCACTGATTTTGTGCAGTATTTTCTGATGCAAAGCCTTGCAGAATCTATAACGCAGGGGTATTATTATTTTTCAGTGAATGAGGTTTTAATAGGAATAGGTGGAGTACAACTTTTCTACTTCTGTTATTTGCCTTTGTTTCTTAAAAAAAAAGAAAAAGCATAACTTTATTGCAGCTTTCATTGATTTATTTCAAATTTGAAACATTGTGTATCCTGTAAGGTGTTTAAAAAACAAAAAAACAATTAATCAAATCGAATCGAATCGTATTGTGGTGTATTCCTGAGTATCGAAAATAATCGAATCACTGGGTCAGGAAATCAATACTGAATCGAATCGCCATAATAGGTGTGATTTACACCCCTGATATAAATAAATTGAATTGAATTGTTAATTTGTCAAAGAAGTCACTTGAATCCGAATGAAATTAATGGAAACGAAAGAGGATTTCCCTAACTGGAACATCTTTTTTTTCCATTGCTTTTTGCCGGATGCTGTTCAAGTAAAATTTAAAGCTAAGTTTTTTTCTCATTGTCACAGACGACAAATATGCAACAACTGTAGCTAGGAGGACGATACTGATCAACACAACTTATTTCCATCCCACTTCATTTAGTATTTTTCTCAACTCAACTCAAACTTTATTTATAAAGCACATTTAAAACAACCGGGGTTGACCAAAGTGCTGTACAGAAATCAGTTAAGAAACATAAGATAAAAACTGAAGGCTAAAATAGAATAGGATAAATGTTTCAATTAAAATATATTTTAAAATAAAATAAAATTTTGCCAAATGTCCACTTAGACATGATTAAAACTACTATTTGGTAGAGTCTGGAATTCACTTTATTTTCTAAACTATTTGGAAATGCTGAGATTTCGTCAGAGAAAATGCCTTATCAAATGCTCAGTAGAACGACTTGAATGAAATTTATATATGGACTCATATTTTTTGTTATTTTAAGAAACAGCTCACAATGAATGATAAGTTGTGTTCAGCAGGAACCATGACTCATTTACTCCTACAGCTGCCATCTACGTGGTCGTCTTTCCTGTGTTGCAGCAGTTTTAACACCAAGGGTCCATGATGGGATGATTACGTATTTGGGTCATTAAAATGTGGGTGAGGTGAAAAAGGCCTGTTGTCAGTGCCTCGTGAGTAATTTGTCATTTTTGAGCATGCTGGGTGGCATTAGTTTAAACAAAATGCATTGGTGGATCAATTTATTTGTGTTTATGTACATTGCAGATCGACTGATACAGGTTTTTTTTTTTTTTAAGGTAGATGACCGTCCAACCGATATGTGCTGACGATATTTTTGGGCCAATTCTTGGAGCTGATAGTGTTTTTTCCCCCTCCATTTACATGATAGATATTACACTAGTAGCCATTCAAAATTTCCCCACTTTCTTTTATGGGCCCTTGGCTGGTCGCCTACAGTTCCTTTTTAAATATCAATCATTGTATTAAAATATTCTTTCTGTCATGATTTGTGGACATTAATATCAAGAGAAGTGCCTTTTTCCTGGTCAGATGCTATAATTCAGTGAAAGGGTGGAGTCAGAGTAAAAAAATATGCACACCTAGGAGAAGGAAGCCCTCCATTGGCTGGAAGTTGGAGGGGATTTTGCTGGGAGTTGCACAGAAGTGGGCTGACATTCGGTTGCAGTTTCGCTGGGAAGGGCCATTTTGAACGGCCGCTACTGTACACGATAATAAAAAATACATATTTTTTTTATTCTTAGTTTTTAAAAAAACGCATCTATGCCATCAAACAAAACATTAATAAATATTTCTAAATCATGCAGCTGGATTGGGGCCATAAAGTTTGTAAAAAAAAAGATTTAAAGAGTTTTAAAGTTCAGTTCATGTACTCCGACCACGTCTTTCACCCCTTCATCCTATTCTACATCTCTCTTATACAACACATGCTTAAAATATTATCAGTGAAACTCTAACTATATACATTTATACAGACCCAAAAATTATACATTTAGTTTAAAAACAAAACCAAGGAGCTGGTATGGATAGAACTGAATGCAAGTCTAACCGATAGAGAAGCTTTCTGTTCATTTTCTATTCCAGATGTTATTTCAATAGTAGCTTGATCTCTGACTGTTTTTCTTTTGATGAAATGACAATAAATTAAACCAGTCTCCTGTGGATACAAAAATGCCAGCTTCAGGTGTAGTGACCACAGAGTAGAGCGTCACGAAATTCAAATAGATTTTTAAAAAGCGCGGTATTGATCTATTTTATTTTCAAAATCTCGTGAAATTTCATCGTTCTGTTACAAACTCTCGTGATATTTTGCAAATTCTTGTGAGATTTTGTTAGTAAAATAGATCGA